CCACTATGGGGAGTTATGGTTAAAAGACTGAGGATGGTTCCTAGTACAAAGGCCTAGGGACTTGGGGTTATAGTTCTTACCTCTTTTTGAACGGCACCATTTCCAAGATTTTATGAGTCCCACTGATGAAAAAAAGCAGTAAGTCCAGGACAGGCATTATTACATAAAATATTAATGGAGGATGTAAACGCATGACCGTTATTGAAAAAATAATGCAATGATTAAGAAGGACCTGATACGAACAGGACAGAATTTTACCCCATCTCGCAGTGCAAACATGTGTAGATACATTTTTACCAATCATACCATAGAATGTGCATAAGTTAAAATCCAAGTCTGAGAGACCTTTTCATGGTTGGCAATTTACACTCGGCATATTTGGCAAGGGGCATAATGATGAAAGTACATTTTAATTATTCTCTTGAATATAGGATTGTAGGGCAGCACAATAAATGTTGGAAGCAAATCTTGTCATAGTGCACAATCCGACAACAAACAACTATTGTGTAAGGCCAGTTTTACGTAATTTTCTGTTCGCAAGTATATACAAATGGACGACTAAAACAAAGTCTGCTCCTGAGTTTTTGTTTGTTTTGGTAAATATACACTGCATTACATGCTTCAAAATTACTGCAGCGTAGCTGGGTCACTCCACGAAGTTCGGGCACAGTTTGTGACGCCGTCCCTTGTTACATCAGTGAAACGAAACTTTTTTTTCCTTAAATTGACATTGTTCTAAATCTTGCGAGGTTCTTGTAGTGGTGTGCTTCATCTTTGCCGAATAATAATGATTTAATCTGTTGTAATGTGAAAATAAAGGGCAATCAAAGTTACCGATGTAACAAGGGACGCCGTCACAAACTGTGCCCGAACTTCATGGAATGACCCAGCTCCATTTAATTATAACCTGTGCTGTGCTGTGCACAATCCCAAAATCGTTTGTAGGTTCATCCCTGGTGATTACTTTCTAGACAGATCATGATAACATCTAGATCACTATGGAAACCTACGTTTCTGTGTCTAACCGTCTAGATTACACAGAACGGTCGGACTGCAGTCACAGACCTACATAGATATCACTTTTTGTCTTACAAGTAAGCAGACGCACGTATGGTACTTCACTCACCAATTCCAACAACAACGCCCAAAGCCGAAATCACAGCTAGTATCAGCCACTTCACATCCTCACTTAATCCAAATCCTGCTGAGGTGGGGGCCAATAACGTTGGTTCATATTGTGCGGAGGTTACGCTGTATGGTGCCATGGTAGCTGAGTAAGATGGTGACAGGTCGTCCGCGGAGGTCACATTTCCTATTGGTGCCATGGCTGATATCGGAGGGGGGGGTTGTCAAACTGTTGGGGAAAAATATGATTTCAGTTACATATAACCTATAAATACATGTAAACTTCACAAAAAATCCTACAACTTACAAGATATGCCATGCTGCATAACATTTTTCTTGCTGCTATCAAGGGCTTAACTGTAGTTGATATGCGGGAAAATTATTTCATTATTAAAAAAACAATGAGGCTAATAAAGGAACGCCTGCAATGTCAGGTTTTTGGGTCAGATTTTGCTTAAAGTTTCTCAATGTTGTAAGTGATGTGGACCAGATAGAGAGATTGTCCACCAAACAGGAATGTACCTGTACATTAGCCTCTACAGCACTTATCAAATGATGCAGAACCTTCACCACAAGATGTTAGCCGCTGTCAACTGCATTTTAGTACACAGAAACACACAGAAACAAAGAAATCAAATCAACTACCATTGCCTTAACATTCCACAGACTGAACCACTCCTGTGTTAAACCAAAACCATTAAAACTCTGCAGTTGACTGGACACTGCAACTC